GAGTCTAGGAGGCTGAAGTTTTAGGGTTATGACTCCCTGCCCACCCTCAATCTTCCCCATTCAAATTCAACCTTCCCTTACCCGCAGATAACAAGTACGGCCCCGTGAGAGTTTTTCACGGGTAAATTAATATCTCGGGAACCACGGAGTCTAGGAGGCTGAAATTTAATACTAATGACCCCCTGCCCACGCTCAACCTTGCCCATTCAAATTCAGCGTCCTCGTCTCTCGGTTACCACCTAACGGCCCCGTGAAAATTTTGGCGGGTAAACTATTAACTCGGGAATCACGGAAAGATATTCATCCTTCAAGATTTCGAATTCAGCTTTCATACGCAGGTGCGTGAAATTTTTAAAAATCACGGAAAGATATTCATCCTTCAAGGTTTCGAATTCAGCTTTCATACGCTGGTGCGTGAAATTCTCACGAAAAGATATTCATCCTTCAAGGTTTCGAATTCAGTTTTCATACGCTGGTGCGTGAAATTTTTGTCTGGTCTTCTTTATGTTTGAACTATTTTTGCATAGACTATAGTACAAAGCAGTGAAAATCATTAACAGGCAATCGTTCAGTGGGCTGAATTGCACAAAACGCATGATCGCACCGGCTAGTCTGGTGCGCGTTGCCATTTATTTCCTCTTGCTCGAGAGGAATTTACACTGTTTTAATCCGGTGCTCAGATATTTGCTTTTTCCTTATGTTAAAAATGACTGAGGTAACAGTACTGCTGCACAAAAAATGATTTTCGCTGCCACTCAGTCGAACAATAACAAGTAAAGTTCTCATCGCGATTATCACTTGACTAACCTAATTATACAAGTAAGAATGGGTGTTGGACATGAAACATGCGTACCATCGAAAAGTTCCTTCTGTCGATCGGCTTCCACGTACCGATTCATAAAATCGCTTGTGAACACAGATAATGAATTGCAGTTGGGTAAGTGATAAATTACTGGGAGATAGATAGCAAGAAAATGCATGCCGACTGCAGCAACCACTGGTTATGAATGAAATATGCACCGAGTAGGAGAGGAGGACGTGGCTTGAGCGCCGTGAGATCCGTGTCCAGCTGCTGGATCGAGCAGCCCACTCGCTGGACACTACTACCACTGTAACCCCTCAATGACCAGTCGCTCGCCTCGCCCCACCTTTTTGCACAATACAAACAAACACTAAGCAACGAACTGGACAGCCGTCAAAACTGGTCAGCGGCACACACACATACGGCAACCAGCCTCCACCAGCCCAAAACCATAAATTCATCAGCACCTTTCTTTACTGACCCCTCAACAGAACATCACAATCACGGCTCAGGTAAAATCAGACTCGCTTCACCAGTAATTTCGCTGCTCAACATTAAGTGACCACTACTACTACTGGGCAGAAAGCAACAAATCAAAGTAGAGGTGCAGCTAGGAAAGGTGGAGATGTCGCAACTTCTTTCAGACGATGAATGAACTCGGAAGTAGGCTGCTGCAACTAGAACAACCACATCTGGTCCCTCATTAAAGGATCCAAATTACTACTGGAAGGCTTCAAAAGTTAGCACTGTTTTAAATTTTATATTTGTCGAAGTTTCTAAGTTTCTCAAAGCCAAAAACGGAATCGAAATTTTTCGGTTACCGAGTGTAGTTTGCTCCATACTCCATTAAGTGAGCGGCATGGGCGTACAAACACACATCGGCAATTCGAACAAGCTGCTCGCTCTGTCGACAATTGATGAGCGCCGTGGATCAGTATGAACATGCGCGGATGATCATTCAAACGATGCCAGTTGACTAGATAAGCTACGCTGCGAAGGCCGCGAAGAGCTGAAGAACCCGAGGAAGCATCAGGGTGCGTCTTATGAAAGTCTGAACATCCAGTGGCTGACTTCGTCTCAAACGAAACTGGATGACGAAAACTGGACAACTTCACCCTCAAAGAAATCAGTGTTAACGTGCAGTATGCAATGACTTACTACAATGATTCACACAGCCTACTCCAACATACAGACGGTAAAGTTAGGGATGAGGCGCTGAAACACCCATATATATATATGTGTGTGTCTCAAGCAAACTAAGCCTTGTTACGTGTCATCATGGAATAATTGGCCAACGCACGGGCTGCCCGTTCGAAGATGCGTTTTTTGCATAGTTCTCCGCAGTTTTTGTCGCTACTGGCACCGGTTTTTTCGGCTTCTAGCTAAACAAATTAAAACTGGCCGCCTGAACTGGCAGGAAACACCTCCTTAAAATTTCAGCTTTCTAGCTTTCCTGGCTCCTGAGTTAGCAATTTACTAGAAAAAACTTTCATGGGCCCGTACTTTCGTGGGTACCACGCATATCCGATGTCTGGGTTTGAGCTCGTTGAGGCTTGCGTGGACGGGGAATATCCCCGTAAAATTACAGTCTTCTAGCTTCCCAGGTTCTCGAGTTAGCGATTTACTCGCGAAAAAATTCCATGGGTCAACACGTGGGTACCACGCGTACCCGGCGACTGGTTTGAAGCTCATTAAAGCTTACGTAGACAGGTAACGTCCCCGTAAAATTTCAGCTTCCTGGCTTTTCTGATTCCCGAGTTAACGACTTACCCGCGAAGAACTTCCATGGGCCCGTACTTAGGTATCACGCCAACCCGCGGACTGGGTTTGAGCTCATTAATACCTACTTGGACGGGAAATGTCCTCTTAAAATTTCAGCCTTCCAGCATTTCTGTTCCCGAGTTAGCAGCTTACCCGTAAAAAATTTTGGCGGACCCGTATGCGGGTACCACGCTTGCTTGGGAGCTGGGTTTAAGCACTCTGATACCTACTTGGACGGGGAACACTCCCTTAAGATTTCAGCCTTCTAGCTTTTCAGATCCCTGAGTTATCAACCTTCCCGAAAAAACTTTCCCGGGCTCCTGCTTGAGTACCAGGATTATCCGGGGACCGGGTTTGAGCTCTTTAATAGCTAATTAGATGGGAAATGTCCCCTTAAAATTTCAGTCTCCCAGCACTTCTGGTTCCCGAGTTAGCAGCTTACCCGTAACAAACTTTGGCGGGCTCTTACGTGGGTACCAACGCGGGTAAGACCGCCCATTTTGGGGAGGGGCGCCCGTACGTGCATGCAGATTAAGCCACCAAAGTTTCAGCCTTGCAGCTTTTGTAGGTCTCGAGATAAAAAATCGGTACAGAGGCCCTGCGCACACACATATACACACACAAACAGATACACACACAGACCTCTCGTCAATATGCGTTTCCCGCATTGTATAGCTGCAAAAACCGCATAAAAATCACTGAGCTATTAAACCTTCTACAAGCAAAATAAAAGCCAAATTGCCAAGAGGCTGACCGCCAGCCGATACAATACTGGTCAAAATAACCAGAATAGCTGCCAGCAGATGGAGAACCTTACCACGAATTAATGCCTATCCCAGGCACTCCACGTATTTAAACAAATCTTAACAAATAAGGCCCAAACTAGTATTTTGCACTGTTCTGTAGGAAATCATATTTCGCACGACCCACTTTTTACGCGTTTTTTTTGCATCTGTGCAATGCAAAAACATATGAGGGAAGGGGTTGTGTGTGTGTGTGTGTCTGTTCCGAGTTTTCATCTCAGCACGTACAAAAGCCAAAAGACCAAAACTTTGGCAGTTTCATTTACACGCATGTATGGACTCCTGTTCCCAAAATGGAAGCTCTTGCCCGTATGGTTCTCACGTACGGGCCCGTGATTTTTGGCAAGTTGCTAAATCGGGAACCAGAAAAACTTGACTGAATTTCTAAGGGAATGTTTCCCATCCACGTAGAACTCAAATACTTCAAACCCATCGCCCAGATGTGCGTAGTTCTCACGTACGGGCCCATGAAAATTTCTGGCGGATAACTTGGTGACTTGAGAACCAGAAAAACTAGAAAGCTGGAATTTTAAAAGGATTTTTTCTAACTACCGTTAGAAAATAGCTAAAAGTATCTGCAGGAAAAACCGGTGCCGTTAACGACAAAAGGCTGTGGGGAACTGTGCAAAAAACGCATCTTCGCGGCGATAGTCAGTGCACGGTCAGTTACTGGTCTTTTTCTGTTAACATCTTGATCAGGTTAGTAGCAGCGCAACACATATCTCCTATTCGGCATTCCAATGGATCAGAGCTAGAGCAGTTCGCTGGCTGGCTGGCAAAATTCACAAAATAGTAAAAAATGTTTCACTAGCACGCTAAACTGCTTGGTATGTAGTCTAAGACAAAGCAGCGAGGGAGGTGCAGGGGAGACGGCGCACGGGGTGGGCGAGAGGGAGGGGGAGGGAAGGGAGGAATGAAGGAGGAGATGACTTCTGACATGTTTGGAGAAGGGAGGAAATGCAAACTGGACGTGTGGTAATGAAGATGCATGACACAGAAACAAACCCTTCATTGAGGGACATAGCAATGCAAGCAAAAGTGGCTGAAGGGAACACACAAGAAACAAAAAATTATCCATAAAATTTTGTACATTACATCAACAATGTATCTCATGTGAGTATCAACACTGCCCAGAAACGAAGGAGGTATCGAACGTCGTGCAGCTATCAAATCCACTAACCAAATGCCGGCTGACTCGTGTAAACTATATAGAGGAAGCCATCTTCGTCCGCTTCTTGCTGATACAACTCAAGCATCGTCATGCCGTTCGATACCATTGATTTCTCATTCACCAAAAGAAACAGTGTCTGGTCGGGATGAAGATGCATGCGGCTAAAGTTAATTCAACAGAGATTCTCTCATTTTTAAAAAATAAAAAAGTTCATTCACGACATAAGCTTCTCCGCTACGAACTAACCGCCACATCTGCCCACCAAAAGAGCACTAAATATCAACCTCTTCTTCGCTACTGCTTCTCCACATCATTTCAAAGGTGAGAAGAAAAGCCCAGTGGGTTTTCAAAGAAACTAATGTTGCCTACAATGCAAACATTTCGCGGCGAAAGAGTCGAAAGATTTGAAATTAAAACTAAACTATTTCTCTCTTAAAACAATGCAATACCTTTTAACATATCAAAAAAAAGCGGCACGCACACACATGCTGGACAGACGGCAGGTACCAACTTCATACATGAAGATTAGGCCTGGAAAAGCTGCGTTCGGCATGCGGGAGCAGCCCAGTGGTCTTGGCATTCCAGGTATACAATATCTGCTGTATTAATATTCATAGTACATTTCCTGCTTTCCCATAAACGTATTTGCTAAAAGGGTCTGGGACCAAGAATTTAAATGGCGTCGGGTGGAGATGAAAAAGCCCGTGAAGCCCTAGGATGAATTGGACTGCAACACTTATGGAAGTAGGACTGTTGCTACAAAAACCTCAGAAGTGAATTCACAGAGGCGAGGTGCAGACCAAGAAGGAACTCAGAAAATATCAACTTTTAAAAGCTGAACTATTCAGATTCTGAACTAGCAGCCATTAGTACTCCGTAATTCAAGGTCAAATCCCTCCCGATAAAAGCATATACTGAGTGTGTCGCATTAAAGTCAACTTAGGACAACATGCTGTTCACTCGTCATTGAATCAAGAATATAGCAAAGCAGCAATTAAGAGATAACATACCACCGCACGATTTGCATCAGACCGCCCAACGTGATATGTTCCGGGACAAGAAATTTACAGTGATCTAAAATTGGCAGATACTTTTCGCCTTCGAAACGCTCCACGACAACTGGGATCTTATTTGGCTCTCGCTGTCTGATCGCATTCGCATCCTTCACACGCTGAACTGAAACACAAAGAGATTCATGCACTGAACAAGCAGCATGGCAGTGCAAAATGAGAGCACCATCAATATGTGGATTTTCCTTGGGATCAAAAGAAGTTCACCTAACAAACACCTCCTCCCCCTTTCCTTGCCCTGGACGCCTCATCCACTGGATTCTAGTACGGTCTGGTTGCATTGTACAACCCGCTGATAGCTGCAGCTAAACTAATTCTGTACAAACACACACTGATAGATGACGGACGCCTGGTTATTTTTTGAAAAATCTTCCTGAAAAAGAAATAAGGTGAAGTAAAGGCGTGCCAACTCAGCAGTTATCAATAATGAAATTGTAGAAATAGACTTCACTGATATCCTGTCAACAGGCCATCATTGGATACCTCAGCAGAGCCATGGAATAGCCACGGATCAACAATGGGAACCGGTAAAACTTAAATATATTTTAACTATTCTATTCGATAAGCCGCTTCTGGTTCAGCATTTCTAACTTCCCCAAAATGAAGACATGTGCCTATTATGACGCCCCATGTTAAAAATACTACAGCACTGCTCCAACTCAGATCTCCCTGACCAAGTTCAAATATATTTCCATGGCTCTCCGAGCCGCATAATCTTTCAACGATCTAGCAAACTTTTATAGCCTGCTTGATTTTTGAAATTTTTCCTCGTTCTGGGCCGTCTTCTAAAGAAAAAACAAACGACCGCTCCAGCGGTTCCTAAAAAGATGGAGCACATACATCAAATAAATA